CACCGTATTTTTCAGACTATAAAGTGCACTTAAAATCCCTTAATTGTGCCTTAAAATCCGATCCGCTTTATGGATTAATTCTGGTTGTGCTTCCTGACCTTGAACTGATTTTCACATATCTTCCACTATACTAGTCATATCCTTTAGTCCAACAGAAGATTTTCAGTATGTTCATTAAATTTTGATGCCTTTAGTGAGACTCTACACTGTAAATACTGTAATTATGGAAATAAATAAAAAAAACACAATGAAAACTGTGCCAAAACATCTAACTGGTAGTGTATTTTGATTATAGCTGATTATTCTTCAGTACAGTGGTATAAAAATGTAAGCTTGACTGTTTGTTCACATGAGTTAGAAACAGATGCTAGTTTGGTCCTGGTTTGAGGCCAGTTTAGTCCTGATGTTGTCCTATTCTCGTCCCGGTCTAGTAGCCAGGCTGGCACCACCAAGTGCCTCCGCTCAGTTTAATTTCTCTCCAATGACTAGGTCAGGAATCGGAACACACTAGACTATTTGCAAGAACCCCAGAAGCTGTAGACTGAGCACCGGCCAATCAGTGAAGAGCTGTGAAGCCATGATGTCAAACTCAACAGCACAACAGTAGATGTAGACGAAGTGGATGTAGACGAAGCCATACATTCTGTGTTGGCAACAATTCCCGAGATTGAGGAGTTAAAACCAGAACAAAGAGAATGTTTGGTGAATTTTACCAAGGGGAAAGATGTTATTGTCCTTCTTCCTACGGGATTTGAAGCATTATATATGTCACGATGAAATAGCAGCGATTGGTTAAATGAAAAAAGTATGCGCCTACCGTCAAGTGAATGAATCCTAATACTGTGAGGTCAGACGGTTTCCACAATCTAGTCCACTTTAGCCTCAATGTTAATATGTTGTGTGTGCAAATGTAACTGCACGTTATCATAAAAAAGATGTACATAGATACACATAGCTTAATGTTGCATGTTTTTGAGACTGATAAACAATCGTATTCATTTCATAACATATGTTGAAATCAAAACTGGAAAGACAGTTTTTTTTCTTAGTTTTTCCATCAACATTTTAGCAATTTGCAGAATACGTTAGCAACTGGGGACATGTTTCAATTTATGTGATTAATTCTGCAGCCTTATGGTTAGCACATCTGCTTCTGCTAAAGATGATGCAATGTTTAAATCCTGTTTTGTCTTTTCTGAAAACTTTGAAACCACCTTATAAAATCGTAATGTTGAGATGTTATATTTTTAGTACTCATTCCCACTTTTGCACTTCTGTTGGAGTGGAGGATCAGTCAATCAATTATCTCTTCAAAGTTTGTTTTTTTACTGGCCAAGATCTAATCAAACATAACACCACAGCACTGCACTGTCAGATAATATCACATTATTAGTATTGAACAGTCACTCTTATCTTGTTTCCACACTTGAGTCAATAATGATTTCACTTTAAAGCCTTGTTTATAGTCCAAACATTATTCTACTTTTAAAAAGATGATAATTTCAGTCAATTACCCAAATCAAACTTTTTATTTATGACTGTGTTTGAAATTTTAAACATAAGTCACGCACAACTCAACCCAATCAAATCATATTATTTCTATTGACCGCACAGAGCCCACTGTTACCATGTCTCCCAGTTTGGATCGATAGTGATTTAATTCTTATACTTTTCTCATGCATTTATATTTCACTGTGTAAGAGCAAAAAACCCACCGCTTTGCCCAGAAAAGTCAGTCTTACAGTAATAATTCAGAAAGTAGATTTTCTTGGCTCTCACAAACCATTGTCAGTGGGGTTTTAACTGTCTCAGAGTTCACTCGGGGTCAAGCTGTGTGTCTGCCAGTGACTGTTGTGCAAAAACCACCAGCAATCACGTCTTATCACTGCAGCCAGGTGTCCATAACAGCTTGGTGGAGTTGCTAAGATTGTCCAAAGCAAAAAAAATAAAAATGATGTCCACACAATCACACAGCGCTCCTGTCCCACTGAGTGACTTGTCTCTGGTCTGACAGGGGAAGAGAGACAGAGAGGGAGGCCTTGGATTCTGCTTTATACTGAAAACAAGCCGAGTGGACGCTGAAATGCTGGTCAAGGTTAAAGCTTCGCACGGGTGGACAGTTGAGTGGCTGAATTATTGATACTGTGCAGGAGAAAATAAATAAATACCCGGAAAAGAAAAATGTCAATAAATTTCCTGCAGCAAGTTCATTCTGAAAGGCAAGACACTGCAGGTGATTAGGGGAAAAAAATCTTTGGAGATCTGGAAATATACGTAGAAGTTTGGACCCACCTTTTCATATATATTTTTTCTTTAATTTTGTTTTCTACATTTTATATACAGACAGAAGACATCAAATATGTTATGCAAGATATATGGAATTATGTAGCAAAGAAAAAAATACTACTGCTAAACACTAAATATGTGTTATATTTATATTCAAATCCACCCTTTGTTGTCAGAGCTGCAAACCCTTGGCCTTCTCTCCGTGAGCTTCTTGATGAATTCACATGAAATGGTTTTCACTTCACATGTGTGCCACGTCAGGGTCAAGACATGTCAAAAATACAAAGCAGTGATCAAAGCAAAGCATGGCTATTTTGAAAAATTTTAAAATCTAAAGATGTTTTGATTTATTTTGAGTTAGTTTTTTGTCTATTACTTTCACAGTTTTGAAGCCTTCCGTGAGAATCTACAATGCAAATAAATGTGTGTGTCCAAACTTTTGACCGATTGTGTAAATTTGAAACTTCTGTAGTTTATAAATCGACATAATAAAACATCTTTAGGTGCAAATTCGAAAATTAGTTGAGAAAAAAACAAGTTTGCGTGTAGTGTCTCACCTTAAAACGTATTTAAAAATACCAAATGTGCTCAAGCAAAACATAAACACTGATGCATGAAGCTAATTTGTTCCATCAGATTTTGAATTTTAAATACGGCTGAATTTCTCACTTTGAATTTTTTAACTCTCAAAAGTGATGTCTGAATTAATTTTAGCTGCTGAAATTTTATGTATACTTTTTCAATATATTTCAAATTCAAAATAAAAATTTCATCTTTTAAATATTCAGCACTAATATTTTCAAGACCTCAAATTCAAAAGAGTGTAAAAATCACGGTGAAAAATTTCCCAACAAAGCTCCAAGATGCCAAGACAGAAGCAATCATTCATAAGTAATTCAAGAGGGCAGAGGCTATTTCCTATTGGCCGTTCTCATCTCTGGGCGGGGTCTGACGTTTTGATGAGGCTAATTCTGACCAATCAGATCGGTGCAGATTCACTGCACCATTACCTGTTTGTTCCTAAATTAGCTCGGATAACTTTGGATCGATTGCTTTGGCCTTGGCACCTTGGCTCTTTCCTGCAAATTATTTTCACTGCAAATTTTACACCCTGAACTTTGACTGTTGAATTTGAATTTAGAGTTAAAACTTTCAAAGTGAGAAATTCAACGGTTTTTAAAATTTAAAATCTGATGAAACAAATTATCTTCCATATCTAAACCTATCCACGTTAGGGATGGATAGGATAGTGGATAGGTTTAGAAGATAGTAATAATGTAGTAATTTGCAGTCTCTCTAATAGAATCAAATTCCACCATGTTCAAGCAAATTATAAAAAAACAAAAAAACAAACAAAAATAGAAATAGAGCCCTGTACAAAAATAAACATTGGTCAGTTTCCATCTATGACTATCACATATGGGATTATGGGCAGCTGCCAATTAGTCATATTATAAGTCTGTATGGACCACAGCTTGCTAAATAACAAACACACTCGACTGCACACAACATTTCTTTCTTTCTTTTTACCAGCATTTTACCAGTATTGACTCTATCAGCAATTGGAGCAATTTGAGATGTACCACAGAGTTTCCTCAGGGCACAAAACGTCAACATATTTGGAACACCGTGTTCTCTCCACTCAGACAAAAGTTGTCAAATTGCACAAATACCTTCACATGCAAATTTCCTTTGTTCTATCAACTTTTGAGGACATTGTTAGCCCCGAGATACAACCCACTAACTCGGTATGCTGCAAATAGAGATATCTAGGTAAGTTAAAACGACTTACATTAAGAACATTTGGCTTTATTTCAGTAGATTTAAATTTACAAGTGAAATGATCTACCAATGGAACAAGTGTGTTTTTCTTTATTCAAGTAACATTAGAATTTGTTTCTCATTTAAACTGTAAAGCCTTGTTTTTCTTCTTATCTTACAGGTACATAGTGTAACTTTTCAAATGCTTTTCTCCATGGAGATGTTATTGCTTTGTCTGGAATGTTTCACAGTATGACATTAAACCTTTCTATCTTCATGGAGACCAAACCAGACCAAGTTACAGGTCTGATCGGTGGAGAGGCGACCCCTTTCACACTCAGAATACCTGTTTTTCTAGGTATTTTTGAGCAGTAAAACCACCTGTAATTGAATAAATGTAAAGTAGAGCTGTTTAATGTCATACTGTGGAATATTCCAGGCCAAAAAACGACATATCCATAGAAACAAGCAGATGATGGACCCCCAACCGAAAAGTTACATAGTAGCACAATATATTTTCATATTTTAAGCGCAAAAAGTCTTGTTCCATTGGTAGATATTTTTACTTGTCAAGTGAATTTTACTCAAATCATGATAAAACTTTCTTAATTCACATAATCTTAACTTGGCTAGATTTTGTTTTTTGTTGTTGTTTTTTTTGCAGTGAGTGTACTGGTGAGAAAGAGAGTAAAATCCATATCAACATTTCCTTCCAATGCAGTTTCTATTATACCAATCTTACAAAATCTTAATAAAACTACTTTGTAAACAGTTATCTAATTAGCAAAATGCATTCCAATTTACTGCTTAGAAAATCATTTGCACATTTTGATAATTCAAGCAGCAGAAGCGTGCCGTGATTACCATATCAGTCGGCATTACTCATTCACTCCTATTTTCTCAACGCAAACTGGGACATTGAGAGTCGGTGGCTTTAGATTACCGCCTCTTACCTCGACAGTGCACACCCTCGTCGTAACCATCGTCACAGTCTTTCGCCCCGTTGCAGAGTTTGTTGAAATGAATGCACTTTTTGGTCCCTGTGCATTGTATGTGGTTCAAGGGACATCGGATCACCACCTCCTGGGCACCTAAAACAGAGGAACAGGCTTGTCAGACAATCTAAAAGCATAAATAATTCATAGCACTATAAAGAAAAGATCATGAAATTACCATGTGTGTTCTGAATCCGTGTATCATTCGTTCATTTGTTTTTCAAAATAAAACCAAAAATAAGAAAACAAAAAAACAACTATTTTCTTCGCTATTTGTCTCCAAAAGCAAAATGAAAAAACAGATAGTGATTTGTTTTTTCAGTTTTCGATTTTGTGTTTAAATGATTATTGGAAAAATTGATAATGGCCATTTCCGTAACTTAAACTGCGATGCTGGACTTTTGCGCTGCATATGGACTGAACCAGGACTAAACCAGGACTAAATCGCTCTCTGTCCCGGTCTCAGTCCCGGTCTCAGTCCTGATCACCTGACAGTCTAGGCGGGCACCGTTCCAACACTCAGTCCTGGTTCAGTCCTGGTTTAGTCCTGGTTTAGTCCTGGTTCAGTCCTGGTTCAGTCCTGGTTCAGTCCTGGTTTAGTCCTTGTTCAGTACATATGCAATGCAAAAGTCCGGCATTGCAGAAAAAGGGAAACGACCATTATCCATTTTTTCCATTATTCATTTAAACACAAAATCAAAAACTGAAAAAAATAATCGCTATCCATGTTTTTCATTTTGGTTTTGGAGACAAATAATGAAGAAAATTGTTGTTTTTTTCGTTTTCTTATTTTTGGTTTTATTTTGAACAATGAACGAACGAATGACACACGGATATGGCATATAAGATAGCATCAGTGCGTGGAAGTGAAATTAGGACAACCATATGCTCAATGCATTTACTTTAATGCCAGTGGGATATATTTTCAGATACAATGTAAGTGAAGCAATGTCCGGTAATTCATTCAAACAAACAGGGTTGGTTAAAGTGTTTGACAGATTGTTATGATTCTTTAATTTTGACTTAATTTGGTGGGATCTGTAAATATAAATTATTGTTTTGCATGAACCAAGAACCAATTTTCGAAGAAAAGTTGAAAAATATGTTGAAAATTACAGGAAGTAAAGCTCTCAAATAAACTGATGACAACATACTAGGGAGAATTATATCTAAAAGTTCAGCACAGTTTATATGTAAGAAACTTTAAACATGATTTAAATAACATAAAGGAGTTTTCTTACATTTGTATCTGTCATATCATAATTTTTCCGTATATTAGAGGAGTTTTTCTGGGTAACAATGTGATATAATGATTTCCAACCTAAAAAATTGCCAATGTTTTGCACACATCTTAAATATAAAAATCTTAATTGTGCTTTAGTAAAATGAATAGTTGTATAACCTGTCGTAGGCACTTTAAATGTCTTGCCCAAGGACACAGCAAATGGGAATCAAACTCAGTCTTCAAGTTAGCGTTGCTCTGCTGAATGAGGCTCGACTCGACTAATTATTAAAGCATTTCCACTTTACTTTATATATTTTCCTACCGAGATTAATCAAGCAATCAAAAACCACATTGTTATGGAAAATTATATGTTTGTGTCTAGTAAATAATAATTGAAATGCGAGCTGCAATTTCATATGTATAATTAATGTACACATAATTATTATTTTCCAACGCATAGTTGTACATTCCTGTTTTTAAGAGCGCCTCCTCAAAGTGCTGATACTTCAGGACCTCTTGTATAGGGGGAAGCAGAACCTATGCATATGCAAATGTATTTATACTTCACACCATTGTGTTTTTTTCCTACACATAACAGATGCTCGGCACACTGCTCTGCACCCGCTGTGGTGATGCCTCATAACAAAGTGCCCCAGTCTCCAATCTCTCCCCCATCGCCTCCCTTTCCTCTCTTTCCTGTCTCTCCTCCCTCTTCTCCCTCTCCTATCTCTCCTTCCTTTCCTTCCTCTCTGGTCTCTCCTCCTTTTCCTCCCTTTGCTCCCTCACCTCCCTCTCCTCTTTCTCCTCCCTTTCCTGTCTCTCCTCCCTCTTCTCCCTCTCCTATTTCTCCTTCCTTTCCTCCCTCTCTGGTCTCTCTTCCTTTTCCTCCCTTTCCTCCCTCTTCTCCCTCTCCTCTTTCTCCTCCCTTTCCTCCCTCTCCTATCTCTCCTTCCTTTCCTCCCTCTCTGGTCTCTCCTCCTTTTCCTCCCTTTACTCCCTCACTTCCCTCTCCTCTTTTTCCTCCCTTGCCTCCCACTCCCGTTTCTCCTCCCTCTCCTCTCTCTCCTGTCTCTCCTCCCTCCTCTTTCTCCTCCCTTTCCTCCCTCTCCGGGCTCTCCTCCTTTTCCTCCCTTTCCTCCCTCACCTCCCTCGTCTCTCTCTCTCCTCCTTTTCCTCTCTCTCCTCCCTTTCCTCCCTCTCCTCCCCAGCCCGGAGCAGCTGTTTAAGGATTCATGAGGCCCGTAGGTGACCCTCATTCCAGCGAAACATAAAACATGTCTGACCAGTGCACCGACTACTAGAAAAAAACAAAACAAGAAAATCAGCTATATAGTAAACCGATATCACTGACACTTCGAACATAACTGCTCAACTGAAACTTTGCCGCTGATGATAACAACATTCCATGAAAAAGTGAGCCTAACTGAAGGCACTACCCTGTCACAAGATCTATTAGATTTATATCTCATCTTTATTTTAATGAAAACACTGACTGCAATACGGCTGTACAAAGGCAAAAGACCTTAACTCGCCAGAGTGTGAAACCGAGAAAAATGACTCCAAAAGTATTTATATGCGAAAAATATTGAGCTCAAAATTGACCTTCGACCCTTATTTGGCAGTTCTAGTGCTCTGCCTTTGTATCCAAAAATAAGGAGTCGTGCAAAGGCAACAGGAAGTACTGACATGATCATTATTTGCTTGAGTTTCACCAAACTTCTGGTGTTTGAAATGATATACAAAAGCTTTGGATTTCTTGTTTAACACTTACATGGTTAAACAGTTTGACACACATTTTAATTTGCAGTATAGTCTGTACAGTATGAATAACCATACAAAGGAATATTTGTTTAATTTGTAAAGACCCTGTGCCAAGGCCGCAACCAAAAGAAGAAGGTGAGAGGTTGGATTTTAAAATAAAATATATTTATTAACTAAATCACATCATACACTGTTACTGCCGTTTGCCTTTATATGACTCCTTATTTTTCGGCACATGATACAAAGACAGAGAATTGAAACTGTCAATTAAGGGTGAAAGGTCAATTATGAGCTAAATATTTTTCACGATATTTATTCACATGATAAAGAAGGTCTCAAATCAAAATGACATGAACTAATTTTTGACTAAACATGATATTCTGCCTTTGTAGGGCAGAATAGCTGACATGATTTGTGCTTGTTTTTTTGTTTTTTTTGCCATGGGTCCTTCCTCGACAACTGATGGATTACACAGTCTTTTGATGAGGAAATACATTATCACACAAATCAGAAAATGGTGTAATATAGGCCCTTTAAGTAAATCTGTTGATATTTTTGCTCACATCTAACATTTAAAGATAGCTTTTTAGGATATTACCGCTTATTTTCAAAACTATAATTTCCATGTACATTAACAGAATTTCTTAGCCTTTACAACTTCGAATGTTTTAGTGGATAATTTTTATTTCCAACCCTGAAAACAACCTAGCACAGAACCAGCTTAGCAGATGTTGACAGATATCAGTTCTAATGCCTAAAGTAAGTAGCATTTATAATAATTGGAACATATGTATTTCCTGCTACCGAAGACACTGCACATGTCCAAAACGGGCTGAATTGATTGAACATTTAAAATTCAAATAGCATGTAGAATATGATTTGCAAATGCATGTCAGCCTCTTGAGCACACACAACACATCTGCCCACCTCCCCTCCCGAAGCAAAAACCTGCTCCACCTTAACCACATAGACACCAATTACCGCAGTGTCCACTTAAGGCGGAAATTTATGCCCCATCACAAAACTGGAAGAAGCACATCTCAAAAGACCCAAACCATCTTGACCAAACAATTACTTATAACCCCTATTTCCTCCTTGGAGTAAAAGCTATTGCAATTACTGTGACTTTTACAAAAGAGCACTTTCAACTGCACAAGATTTACTATGGGGATTTGTGTGGCAGTGGTATTGACATAATAATAGTCCGCATTACTTTCTCTCCAAGGATTTTATTGCGGTGCAGGAGAACAGATTTTCTCTTTAATGAATATTTCTTGGCTTTGACTTGGAGCCCCAGCGATTCACAGTATTTTTATGCCATATTTAGGTAAGTCAAATCTAAGTGACCTTGTCTGAGAGAGTTCATATTTCATACATGAGCAAACTGGCAGCAGCCTCATCTTCCGGGCTCCAAATGTGTTTTAAGCAGCTCTCAGTTCATTCTGCCCTGACAGATTTTCAATTGACTTTGTGAAATGTGTTTTTACCTCTGGTTCTTCGAAAGCCCACTTTAGAATAGGTGACTTTGAGAAAATATTTAGCCTCACAAAACTGCAGGTACCATTTAATTTAAAATCATATTGAAAAAGATGATTTAATTGGCTGCATTTTCAATTGGTGATTGTGTTAATATAGAAACTAATATGCGATTTGCAGTTGTGTATTGCAGTGCTCAAGGTTAAGCATTGGCTATCCATACAATGCATAAAATATTCTAGATTCATGCATGGGCTTTATCAATTTGGTAATCTCATGTAAATGTCAACAGGATTCCAAATACAGTATAGACTGTGTAGACGGACAGAGCTAATTCTCTAGCCGTTGCGTTCCAAATAGAAAGTGAGCATGGGGCACGTCCAACACGTCATTCCTCTCTCTGTAACTGTTGCCAGGGTCGTCATTTTGGTCTTAAAATGTTCATATTTACCCTCTATGTGATGCACCGTAAACCACAATAAGTTACCAGAACTTAAAATAATTGTGGCAGTCGATGGCCTCAATTATTTTAAGTTAATGAACTTAAAAGTCACATATTTGAGTTTTCTGTTAAGGCAGCTCAGTTATTTTCATTTACATTTAGTCCCATGTGCATTTCAGACCGCTTTCCTCG